GTTGTTGTTCAATCGGTTGTACTGTTGTGCCTAGCACCACTGCCGATTTTGTTCTTATCCATTATGTACAAACAAAGTTCTTCCCCTTTGAGGGAATCTCATTAAAAGCACTATTCTCTGACCATTCTTGTTTGTTTCAATTGTAGGAAGATGAAGGGGGCGTGTACCTGGTCAAGGTGGATTACCGGTACCTGGACGCCCAGGGCGCCAGCTTCTCATCGCCTAAGGGTAATGGCGGCGATCAGCCAGTGCTCTACAAGTTTGAGTACAACATCTTCTACAGCTGCAGCTACCAGGTGCCAGTGCTCTACTTTAACATCTGCGATCAAGGTAGGCGTTTCCACTTTTTGAACTTGGAGCTGTTTAAACATTTTCTGTTTCTTTTTCAGCTGGCCAGGCAGTGTCCCTCGAGTGGTTGTGGCGCCGCCTGCCACGCTCACTGCTCACTCCGTCGCAGCAGACTGAATCGGGAGCTGGTGGAACGTCATCATCATCATCAAAGTCTGAAGAGCAGCTGTACGCCCTCTTTGGGCAGATGGTCACACAGGCGGTATGTGGTTTACTGGTGGAATAGATTGAATGGCAAGATATCGATCAGTCTTCTGCTTTGTCTTTCCACTGAAATGTTGGCTTTCCTGCTCGTACAGTGAAGCCAACATTTCAGGAGCTTCATCTATAAAAGGCTGGGATACGTTCTATACTCCAAGAGGCGTCGGATTAGCTCAGTTGGTTAGAGCGTCGTGCTAATAACGCGAAGGTCTGCAGTTCGATCCTGTAATTCGACACGCCCCCTTTTTTAGGTCTTTTCTAGGGCCCTAGGACCCTCCTTTTGTTCCTGCCTTCAAAAAAATCAAAGTTTGACTATTTTAAAATTTTTTTTCGCAAAACCGACTAGTTTTCCGTTTCTACTCTCGTTTGTTAAACGTTAAACTCATGAGCTAAGCTATTCAAGTATTTTTTGGGTTCATTCCTAAGGTCCTAGGGCCATTCTTTTATTTCAATTCACAAACTCAACTCAAAAAATTCAAGTTTGACCATTTTTGAATTTTTTTGAAAAATTGCTAAAAATGCAAAATTTTTTACACTATTGGCTTTTTAACTTCATGTGCTAGGATAGTTTTTAGATCATTTTTAAAGATTCTTTTATTTTTGACATAATTCATTTTGACCTTCAAAAGCCAAAAAAAGTCGAAAAGTTCAAAAGGTCATAATATGGTTCAAACCCATTTGGTAGTTTTCACTTAATTTTTGAGGATTTGTTATTCACATTTGGATTCATCTTCACATTTTAACATTTCCAAAACAAAGCCACTGTTTGTACTACCTTTGACCTTTTGGCCAGTATTTCGTGCGANTATGGTTCAAACCCATTTGGTAGTTTTCACTTAATTTTTGAGGATTTGTTATTCACATTTGGATTCATCTTCACATTTTAACATTTCCAAAACAAAGCCACTGTTTGTACTACCTTTGACCTTTTGGCCAGTATTTCGTGCGACCAAAACACTAATCCGTTTTTTCAATTTCTAAATTTTCTATCAGATGCACCCAATCACCGGCAGCCCCACCTTCACCATCCACCCCTGTCGTACGGCTCAGCTGATGTCTCCGCTGGTGATGGCAGCAAACAGCGCTGTTTGTTGTGCTCACTGTCAAGGCCGGCGCCAATCAGTGGCAGACAATGAAGTTGTTGTGCCTTCTTCCACCAGCACCACCACCTGCACCTGCAACTACCTCATCACCTGGCTCAGCTCACTGGCGCCCGTCGCCGGACTGCTTCTGTCCAACCAGTACGGTACAGTGATGACCACCATTACCACTGCTCAGCGGTAGACGAGTGTTGTTCCAGAAGTTTCCACCCTAAAATTTCTGTACAAAAACAATAAAGCCCGACTCACTTATTAAGGGATAATGAGGCCAGTGGGGTGCAAGTGCCAATAAACAACCGACAGCAACAATTCTATTGGCCAACTCACCGGTCCTGGAACTGAATTCTCACTCACTCACTCACTTACTCATTCAGCAGCGTCCTCGCCCTCGACACAATGCGGCACAATCTCTCCCACACACTTTCTTTCTCCTTCTTTCCTTCTCCTTCTCTTTCCTTCACTGCACTTCCATTGCCATTGCCATGCGCTGCTGAACTACTGAAGAAAAGAGAAAGAGGAGAACGTGGAGTGAGAGCCAAGTGCACAGTTGGTGGTGAAAGTTACGCCCACTTGGAAAGGGCCGGAAAAGGTGTCAGCAGAAGTGGGAGTGGCCATATTTGAGATTTTAAGGCAAATCCACCGATACGTTTCAGAGGAAAGACACCGTTTACCGCCGCTTTACAGTTCAGTGTTCAGTGGCGGCAGTGAGGTTCAACGACAGTTCAGCTGAAAGGCAAATGGCGGCGAGCTTAGAGTACTGCAGGAGATTGTCAGAAACTTGAGAACTTCTCATTCTTATGTCCATTTGAGGTGCTCGAATGTTGACCAGGAGTTCTTCGTGTTGAAGTCGACCTCCAGCGACCGGAAGTATCTTCCACTACGCACACCCACATTCTGTGCCGTAGCAGCATGTCTCTCCATGCTGCTGCTTCTCTCTTTACCACGCTGATCTTCTCTGTGCTTCTTCAGCTGCCGCTGCTGCTGCCACTGTCGTGGCCGACACCGTCGTAGCCGCTTTCACTTGCTGCTACTGCTGCTGATTCAGCCGCCAGACTGCTTCTTCCTCTTCTACTTCTGCTTCTACTTCTTCGGCTTCAGCTGCCGCCGCTGGACGCGCGCGCCGAATCCGCCGTCTACTCTCTCTCACTCTGTCTCACTGCGGCACCGTTGACACCCGACTGAGAAAGAGAGTGAGAGAGAGAGAGAATGAGTGAGTGAGAGAGTAGCACACTTTGCCGCCACTCTGCCTGCAGACACCACCGAGACACGAGGTCGCGAGTCGCGACCAAAGAAGAAGAGGATAGATAGACACTGTGTCTGTGTGTGTTGGCCAGCAGAATCAGCAGCAACCGCCACAGACTGGCGCCCGGTCCCGGCAACGCCCGCCGCCGACGCCGCTGACAAGAGCCAGAATTGGGCCCATAATCCGCCCCAGAATCTGCCGCCGAGTGGAACGAAGTGAGCTGTCAGCCGGCCTGAAAGGCGCGCAAACTGTGTGCACAGCACTGACCACCACCGCCGCCGCCGCTGTCTGGCCGACTAAGCACAACGTGCTCAGACGGCCGTCATCACAACAAAGTGATCTCACTCGTCAACAGAAGCAGCGAAAGTGCGGGCAACCGGCAAGAACGTGTGGACGTTCAGTCCAGTGCAGTCCACCAGCAACACATCAACTGTGCCCAATCTCATTTGCTTTCGCGGCCATAACTCTGACGACCAAACACACGATAAAGCAATTCCACCACCACCATCATTCCAGTGAAGTGCAGTGCTGTTGTTTTCAGACTCTGTTGTCGGACAACAACGTTGCCGTATTTCACGTCCACATGTTTGCATTCTTCTAGCCTCCTCTTCTTCTTCTTCTTCTTCTTCGAATGGCGGTTGCAAGAGTGAACCATCTTCTTCCATCACATTGAACCTCTCTGCTATTCTTCCACTGGCTCTAAACGACTACTACTACTGCCCTTCAAGTCAATTCAATCTCCTCATCCTTCTCATCGTCCTCTTCTAGTGTGGGTAATGTAAACCCGGCGAAAGTGAATCCATTTGCATGAGCTGGCAATAGCAAGCGAGACTACTTTATTACCACCGAGCTGTCCGAANACTACTGCCCTTCAAGTCAATTCAATCTCCTCATCCTTCTCATCGTCCTCTTCTAGTGTGGGTAATGTAAACCCGGCGAAAGTGAATCCATTTGCATGAGCTGGCAATAGCAAGCGAGACTACTTTATTACCACCGAGCTGTCCGAATCGAGTTCTATTCTGTCTATCTCTTTCTCTTTCTCTTGCTCCACCACTCAACCCGTCTCTCGACAGTCTCGACTGGCTCGAATCGTGAAGTCATTCTCCTACTCTTTTTTTCTTTGCCGCCCCCTTTCCTTCCCTTTCCTCTCCATCTCCCCCACTGATCGTGGAGCCATTTAATTAATACAACTGGCACACTCTAATTTGTTTATACGTTTATGGTTTGCGCGCGCTGGTTGATGCAACTGCCACCAGGAATTCTCTCTCTCATTCACTTTCACTCTGACTGGCAAAGCCTTTACTTCACTTTCTCTGGCGTCTGCCTTCACATCTTCCTTTTTCTTGTACACCACCACCACTGCCGCCACTCTACTCTTCCTCTCTACGCCGCTTTTGTCTGTTATAAATAAACCTCGCAACCACCACCACCGCCACTGATGTACATCTGTCTGTGTGTGTGTATCATCCACTCATCCATTGCAAAGCAGTGAAAGCATCCGAATTATTTGAAGACTTGATCGAAGCTGTGCTCTTGATTTTTTACTCCCCCCTTCACGGTTGCTGTTGCAACAGCTTTTCCCGGAAAGAATCTGAAGCTGAGGATCTCCGTTGAAGAGTGAACCTGAATTGAGTGTCTTCTTCTTCTCCTTCTTATTTTGCACTCTATTTGCCACCAGCGAGTGTTTCAAATCTCTCCACCAAGTCTGCAAACAGAAGCCGCCTAAAAGAACACAAGTAAAGAGCTTGGAGCAAGTGAATGATTTCCAAAGCAAGTGAGCCACCGCCATCGCCTCGACCGTAAAAAAAGTGTTGCCGCTGCAGCAATCGTTGGCGCGCGCTAATTTCGTCACTTGGCACCGGTGGTGTCTCTTTGCCCACCAACCAGCCAACCAACAGCAGCAGCCGACAACGACAACGACAGTAGCATCGGCGGCGACAGTGAACCAGCTATTCAAACCAGACCACTACCATCATCATCAGCCATCATCATCATCATCAGCCCTTTGTCTTACATATCAAGCAGTGAAAAGACAGCAGCAACTGAGGAGTACAAAGGAAAACAAAGCGGCGCCCAGACTTGTCGTATTCTTCTACTTCTTCTTCTTCGACACCTTGGTCGCTCTGGTGCAGCTCCCGGTTTCTCCCAAGTGTCAGATCTGGGTGCCATATCACAACTTTGTAGTGTGTGTGTGTCTTTGCTCTGACTGAATTTGTTTTGGCCGCCGCTCTTATCACCCCACTCCAACTTTGAAGCACAAATAGAGAAAGGCAGTCAGAAAAAAGACCCACTGTAGTTCGATAGAGGGAGAGTAGGCAAATGATGATGATGATATCACTTTCCGTGGCAAGGAAAAACTGACAGACCAGTTCTTTCAGCAGTAACTGGTGCACTGAATGATTACTGCCGCCTTCGCCAGACACTGCTCACTGACAGCATAGGCAAATTATTAATAACGAGACATCGACCACTTGGCGTGTACTACAACTTGGCCACTACTACCACTACAACCACTGCCGTCGCTAGTTAGTCAAGTTCAAAGCTTGCATTTCCTTTCTTTGAGTCAACTCTGGTGAACTGCAACTGCTGCTGCTGCTGGTGGTGGTGGCGAAACTGATGAAAGACAGTCGTCATTGTGTGAGCTGTTGATGTGAGCTTAGTACACTGTTTGCCGGCCCGACTACCCAGCTGAAGAGAAAACTGTTCTTTGTGACGTGCTGCAGCAGCATCAGCAGCTACTTTCTTCCATCTCAGAGTCATCAACGACTGTCGATGTCACTTCCCGCCGAAGCTGCCGTTGCTGCTGCTTCTGCTGATCTTCGTCATTGCTGCCGCAACCGATATTAATATTATTGCAGCTAATTGACTGACAGTAGAAGCAACAGCTGTTGTTGCTGCTGCAGCTAATGCACTGATTTGGAGAAGAAAAAGACGTAGTAGCATCCTCACCACCACCACCACCGACAACATCAACATCACCGCCAGCCGTGAAGTGATCAACGACGATTGAAGTGTCACAGCCGAAGAAAAACCGAAGAGAGAGCACAGAGTGCTTCAGCTTCACTGATCTTCAGTGATCGTGGCCAGCCATATCGTGAACATCGCCACCAGAACCAGCTTTTCAAACCAACGACGACGAAACAGGACAACAGTCAGTCAAGCAAAAAGAGTGAACAGAAACAACAAAAGCTTTAGAGCTTCAGGAGAGCTGGATGACTGCATTCTCATCGTAGCATGCACCAGCAGAAGCAGCACCAGCACCAGCACTCGCCGATCAGCGGCGTCGGCGGCAGCTGTTGCTGACTTGTTGCCCCTTGCACACTGACTTGCTAGTTCCTCTCTCCCTCCTACTACTGCAAATCACTGCAGCAGTTGGTGGTGGTTCTCAGCAAGTGTGACAANGATGACTGCATTCTCATCGTAGCATGCACCAGCAGAAGCAGCACCAGCACCAGCACTCGCCGATCAGCGGCGTCGGCGGCGGCTGTTGCTGACTTGTTGCCCCTTGCACACTGACTTGCTAGTTCCTCTCTCCCTCCTCCTCCTACTACTGCAAATCACCATCGACTGCAGTTGATTGTGGTGGTTCTCAGCAAGTGTGACAATTCTGGTGGCAGCAGCAGCACATGACTCTATCTGACTGACTCGGACTGACTGACTGGTTGAAGACGGCGACGACCGATCGTGCGGCCACCTAGCCACTCCACTCCACCGGTGCATTTCCATCTATTGCATTTCATTTCACCTGATTGTGAGCCGCACTGCAGCTTCGTTTACATCAACATCGTCGTCATCATCAGCAGCCAAATTGCTTCATTCAGCCCCCGCTGTAACAATAGCAGTATGGGTGATCACTAAGGTCGAGCCTGCTAGGCCGAAAGAAAGCAGCCGAGTTGATGAATTTTTGACATTCCAAACTCACGAAAGACCAAACTCATCATCTTTTACATCCTACTCTACTCAGCCAACTATCGACGACCACCATCATCAATATAAACACTTGTAAATTAATACGAACTCAGCCACCAGAGACGGGCAACTTCTTTAGCCACAGTCTTTATCAAGTGGTGAGTGTTCAGCTGTTGCTTCAGTGTGTTGCAGTCTTACTGTTTTGCCACACTTTCCGGCAGACGTTTATCGATGGAAAGACTGAGGGGAACTGCCTTCTTCGTTTTCGGTGATTTTTGTGTGTCTTGGCGACGAGCAGTCCTCGCAATACTTTAGCTTCTCCTGAACTCTTCCCTCTCCTCTTCTCCTTCTTTTTTCCTCCCTCTCCGTCTCTGTCAGACGGCACACATTTCCTTTCTCTTCTTCTTCTTCTTTCTTGTGCCTTCGTGCATTTGCCGGAGGCACCACTTTTCCTGCGAAGATGAGCTGCAGTAGCAGCACCTCCAGACCAGCTTTGCCAGAGCTCTTTGTCAGTGCATTCACTCTTTTTGTCTGCTGTCTTGTTTGATGCCGCATGTCTCTGCTAGTGCTCCCGTCACTATCACCTCACACAGCACCGACGTCTTTAAAAATTCTCAAGAGACGGTCTCAGACGACGGCAGCTTCTCTGAATGATGGTGGTAGTGGTGGCAGCATCAGCATCAGCCCTTCTTATTCTCACTTTTCTTTCTCCTCTCGATTCTCCTCTCTGCTCTACTAACACAAACACGCATTTCTTCTTTCTCCTACCCTTTACTCTTTTAGTGCCTCTCCATTCTTCTTCCGCCCACCACCTCCTTTCCTTCACCTGCTGCTGTTCTCCTCTTCAAAAATCTAATGATTAATGCATCGCCTGAGAAAAGAGTTACGGAGTAAGAAGGCAGAAGAGTTGATGACATTGAAAGGAAGCTACCACCATCACCACCGCCACCACCATTGCCATCACCAACATCATCCCCATCAGCAGCAGCAGCGACACCAACGACCACAACAGCGCCACCATCATCACCACTATCATCACCATCACCACCACTACAGCAGCGTCGTCGTCGGCAGGAGCACCCTTTCAGTGAGCGCCTGATCACCTGCTGTCATCTCCGCCCGATCTTCATCTTAGTCACAGCTGCCGCTGGTCTGCCCTGGGTGACCGTGTGGTTGAGCCAGTGTCGCCAGTGTCAGTGGCTCAGTCACTGTCCATGCTCGATTGGCCCGTCATGGAACACTGGTTCCACCGGTACATTCTGGTCGCCGTCGCCGTCTGCGTCATCATCGGCTGGTCCTTTGTCTGGATCATGCATCTCATTGCACTCTTTCACGGGTATGTTTTTTTTCTTCTTTCTTTCTTCCTTTTCTCGGCTTTTCTTGTCTTGATTGTTGAGCCTGTTTGCAAGGTTGACCTAAAGACCGTCGTCGTCGTCGCCGTCTCTTCTCGAAGGTGTCACCGGCGCTGATTTATCTGGCCTGTCTCTTTTGCTGACTTGAACGCTGCACTCTGTCACTCTAACAAGTTGCCAGTATGTTTGTCGGCAGTTGTTCTCTCCCCTCTACAGCCTCTTATTCATTCGAGTCACTTTACTATTTTCATAATTTTGTCCTCAGAAAAAGCATGCATATTTTGGCCCCTTCTTCCACTGCCACTGCCATCCCCGCCGCCGCCGAGCACTTCATACTCACTCACTCACTCACACTCCGATCTTTGACGGGCAGGAAAAGATGCCATAGCAATGCGCTGCCCTGTCTCTGTCTTTCAAAGACTGTGCTTCGAGAGAGGCACATTGTGCTGAAGCCGGTTGTCAGAGTCGTCTTCGGCTGAGGCTGTAGCAGCTTCAACTTTTCAGCCTGTCTCGGCTGTCTTTTCGTCAAGCTTCGTCTAGCTCGCGTCACTGTCTTTGCCTTCTTCAATATTTTATTATCACTGCTGCTCATATGCTAATAGTAACAAGTTGACTGTGCACTGACTCGAAGACTAAAGCTATGCTGCTGCTGCTGCTTATAGCCAGCCGGGCGATCGATAACTATTGCTGATGATGCAGGCTTCTTGCTTGCTAGTTCGGTGCAGGCACATTCAGATCTTAAAGAGTGATGAGAAACGCTGTGAATGCATTTGATGCATTTTCGCATGCTTTTTACTGCGGCAGAATCAGTGACCACCAAACACTGCCACCCCCAAAAACTGNACGCTGTGAATGCATTTGATGCATTTTCGCATGCTTTTTACTGCGACAGAATCAGCGACCATTAAACACTGCCACCCCCAAATACAACTGTCCATCTGCTGCTGCTGCTGTTGATGATGGCGGTTGTGTACTTTTGGTGTCTTTCTTCTCCGTTGCTTTCAGTTTTTTGTTTCTCTTGGCTCAAATCGCTCTCTGCAGTATCTTTTTCACTCTTTCCCCCATCTTTCCTTTTCTGCAGCCGCCGGCGCTCCTTCCTCGGTGTTGGTGGTTGGTGGTGGTGGCTCGTGTCTGGCGTTTAGCTTCAGCTTCAGTCACCAACACCACCACCACTATCACTCTCACTTTCCCTCTCCGGCGTCGCTGTCACTTGCTGTGAGTGTGAGTGTGCATCTCGTTATCCTTGCGCTTCTTTGTCTTCTTCTTCTTCACTTCTTTCCCCTTTCCCTCCACTCCTTTCACTTTGTGTGGTTCAGTCAGTCAGTCAGTCTTTCTTCTTCGCCGATGCACGTGTACATGCATTTGATAGCATCGACTGCTAGCTGACTAGAGTGTGGTAGTGTCGCTCTCTGTGCAGTACTACAACCACACACTGCACACCCCGCCTCGACGACCTTGCCACCGCTTGGCCCAAATGTGCGTGCGCTCTAACAGAGAAAAGGAAGGAGTGAGCGAGCCGGTGTGGATGAAGAGTTTACCTTGAGCAGCAGCAACAAATTTTAATAATTCACTCATTCCTATTCCTATTCTCAATCGTCTCAGCCAGGGCATGGTAGATGGTTATGTCTTTGATTGTGTGAATATGCACAAAAATGCAGCGTTTTGTTTACTCTGCAGTGTGTTGTCAGTGGAGCGCGATTCTAAACTTGCTTCTACTACTGTGTTAATGATTGAATTGCTGCTGTACAGTAGCAGTTCGGATAGTATCCATTTTTGTTGCTGTCAGTGCTGGTGGAGTGAGTGGCACACTCGTGCATAGACAGTCAACTGCAGCTATACAACACTGCTCGAAACTGTACGTTTTTTGTTTGCACCGTGCACACAACACACACACAAACACACCGGCTGACTCGTACAAAAAGTGTACGTAGTGGTGATGATGAAGATGACTTGTAGGCAGTCATCGTCATCTGCATAGACACTGGTAGTAACACTGCTAGCCACTCGCCACTTCCTTGACTGCCGCACTCCTTGACTCATTTTGTGTGTGTCCACTTTTGTCTCCCTTCTTTCCCTTCTTTCTTTCTTTCTTTCTGACCAGCAGCAGTTATATGCTGCTGCCACTTCAGCCCCGTCCCAGTCCAATGAGGCCTCCTTTAGTGGTGCTGGTTACCACGGGAATACTCCTTTGTGTGTTCATGTGTTGACACTTGGCGGACTGTCTGTTTGTTCTTGTTCTTGTTCTTGTTGCTGCTTTTCTCTCACTCTTTTTGGTAACTTGCCGCGTCTAGTTCCGACTAACTCTAATGCTGCATGGTGTGTGCCCCCTCTTCTTCTTTTCTTTCTGATAAGAGGAAACAGAGCGGCGTCCGATGCACTCACAAGTGTCGTCAATGAAAGGCGCTCACAAATGGCGCATGCAATTGGTTGCACTCTCTCGCTCTCGCAAGCTTTCTGCTCACTTTAAACCGGCAAAACACACCTGTTAGTGAAGTCATTAGTTGCGTTGCTCCCCTTTGTGTGTATTGAATTCCTTGTATAAGCAGTTAAAAAGGCAGAATCAGTGGTGGCGGTGCTGTGCAATGAAGGTCTATCTGACTGGTAGTGGTGGCCTGAGCTTTAGCTGTGGCAGTTCTTCTTGTTGACTGGTTTGTCGGCTCAGGCACCATCACCTCTGTTCTATTTGGCGCCAATTTTTCCTCGTTCATCTTCGCTCGCCCGTGACCACGACCACGACCACCATCGCCACTGCAAACCACAATTACTATGATCACCGTCCTGGCTGCTGCTGTTGTGTCGTCAGGTTAGGTCAGCTAGAAACGGCAGCAACCAACAACACTTACCTCGCACTGTACAACAGCAGCAGCAGCCAGCCAAACTCAATCAAACTCAGTCAGGTGCCCCATAATACACTCTTTATGTGTTCTTCTGTTGTTGTGGTTGTAATGCTCTCTCTATCTCTGCCCTTGTCTATTCCCGAGCTGACCTGTAGTAAGCTGACTGTGTGTGGTGTGGTGTAAGCTCTGGTTGGTAGAGTCTTTCATAACCACTCCGCTCACTCCTCCTCGGCGAAGGCGACCAAGGGCAGGCAGTGGCACGTATCGAATGCCTGTCCTGCCTGTGTGCACATTTTGTAGTGAGCACCGGTGCTCCCTATCCCTACAACGGCAACTGCGTCATGGCGTGCACTAATTCGTACTTTCGGCGTCGTCCTTTTTCATTCATTCACTACCACCACCGCCACCGCCGTCACCACAACTTCCACCGGCACCGGCCGTGTGATCGATTTTGATCAGCTTGATCAGATCACTCTTTTAGGTGCATAGTTTTTTCTCTCTGTAGAAAAATATCTGCCCAAATCACAATTCATCTTCACGAGCAGTGGTAAAGGAGAAGGTAAAGGTGGAATAGTTCTTCTCAGTGGAGGTCGCCGGAGCTGCAAAGTATTGCGGTATTTATGGCTTGGCGTTGGTGTGCTCCACTGCCCAACGGAAAATGCGGATGATGATGATGTTTGGTGGTCAGGTGACATTTGCTGAGGAAGTGTATCTACAATCTAGGCATCCTAAGCATTTGCTGCATCCTAGACTGAACCCGTTTTTATGGCCTTAAAGCAGCTGGACTGGTGCTAATAGGGATGGTAGTAGGCCAGTAAGTTGCGTCCTCGCTCTTCACATGGTCACACACTCTCTCACATGGCGCATTGTTGTCATCAAATATGCGCTCAAATATGTACTCCAGGCACACACTTTTTGTTTCCCCGGTGGTTGTGATGCAACCACGGGATGCTGCATCCTATCGATGGCCGTTGCCGTTTACATTTCCAGTTAAGAATGCTCTAGTGTGGAAAGTGCCTTTTTTGTGGTGGCGTGACCGTTGTGACGTCCTTTTTGCTGCACTGCCATTATTTTCATTTCTCCCTCTCCCTCGCATGCATACTAAGAATGTATGATCAGGTGTGTGCAAGGGAGAGAGAGAGAGTGCTGTCATAAAAATAGGTAGAATCATTCACCAGTCAAGTAATGAGTGGCGCGTTCTTCCTTGGGAAACTGCTGTGTTGATTGCATTCGGCGTGTGCCTCGCCTGTCATTCTTGTCGTAATTGGCTAATACTGGTGCTGCTGCCTTGATATTGGCAATTAACACTACCTCTTCCTCCTCCTCCTCCAGTGGATGGTACACAAGGTGACAAACACTTTCACCGCATTACCGGGTTCATTGCGTTGTTTTTTCTGGGATGATTGCACCTTTTCTTGCTCTCGCTCTCGCCTTGACTAGCCTTCTCAGTCCTTAGTCATTGCATATTTCTTCGACTTTCTTACTTTTGATTGCCGTTGCATTACCGCGTTATTACCACTGCTAAATTTGTCATGTCCTTGCCGGACATTAACATTCCATCAGTTCTTGCGCTTCCCACTTGGTGGTAATGGTAGTGGTTGCTGTTGCTGCTGTTGCTGCGGCAGTCATGTCGATTCGATTTAATTTCACTTTCTCTGCAATTGACGACTCTCCCTCGTTTAGTTTTTCCTCTTTTCTTACTCCTAACTCTTCTTAAAGGAAAAAGTCAGCACAGTGCTTGGAAAATGCCAATGTGAGGGCTCACTAGTGCTGCTGATAACGATTGGGGGGTGCTCGTGATGGTTGCTTCTGTCACTTTCACTGCCCCAATCTGTGTGCATTCATTTGTCTTGTCTTGACTGTCAATGTCGTGGTCGTGTGCCGTACTGTACCGTACCGTACCGGACAGTTTCCAGTGTCCAGTCGGCACTGACAGTGGCTGGTTATTTTCGGGAATGGCTGGGCTTCCCTTCGTCGCCGGGCGTTCATTGCTGGTGATTTATTGCCTTTTGCCTTTTCTCCTTCTTTTCCTTTTATTCCTTTTATTCATTTCTCCTTTCCCTTTTCTCCCTTATTTTCTCTGGTCACCACTGCTGTAATGTGTGGCGTGTGCGTTGTCTTGTCCTGTACTGTACTACTTTGCGGATTGTTTATTTATTCATTGTCTCACATTTTATTTACTCGATTTGACTCCTGTCATAACATAACAGAGCAGAGGCGACTGTGTTGTCTTGTTACCCTGTCTGCCTGCCTGCTTTGTCGCTTGTCGTTGCACCACTTAACGCCCGATTTGCCCGTTGTTGTGCTGTGTAGTTGGGCAAATGTCGACAGCACAGCAACCCCCTATCCCCCTTTTCTGTCTATCTCTTCACTTGTCACCCGATATATTGCCCGCTTTCTTTTCCTACGATATCACTTTTCCAACTAGCTAGCTTCTGTTCGCCTCCTCTGCTTCCATGTTTGTTGGTTAGTTGTTGTTGCCCTGGCCAGTCTTCTCAATTGGCAGTGGCGTCTTTTCGGCAACCAGGCAGGCAGGCAGTCGGTTACTTGTGACTTGAGCTAATGATTCCAGCCCGTGCGTTTCGTGTCTGCCATGCTTACCATGGTGCCCAATACCGGTGTTCAATCCAACTGAAGTGTCACTCTCTGATTCAGGCAATTGTTTTTGCGCCCACTTGGGCGCGCTTGTTTGTACGGCACTTACTAATCTTTCTTTCTCTTTTTGCTCTCTCTTTTTCCCCCTTCCCTGTTCCCATTGCCATTGCTCTCAATAACATCATCAATCGATTGACGTGTTCTCACTCAACACACACAGCGCGAGGACACTTCACAAAAAAGTGGACTATGACGCGCTGAAGGAATCGCCACTGCCAGGCGTGTCCATCATCAAGCCACTGGTGGGCACAGACACCAATCTCAAAGATAACATGGAGTCCTTTTTTAAATTAAACTATCCTAAGGTAAGTGCGCTTTGAATGGGAATGGAAATCGGGGGGTTTTTGCTGTCCTGTGACGGGTTTTGTTTTGGGTTGTTTTCATTTCGTTTTCTGCTCGATTGAATTGAAAGAACGCGGCGCACTTTCCCTTTCCTCCTCTTCTCTGCTGGTGGTGGTGACTCTGCGTCTGCTCGTTTTTGTGGTTGTAATCGACGAGTGTGTGCACCTGCCGCCGCCGTCGTAACTACACACAGTGTCAGGAGTAGTGCCAGGCGCCTGGTGCACACTTCTGCAGGGTCTACTACTGTTTTGTTAGCTTGTGACTTTGGTAGTCGAGCTGCTTTTCATTTGATCTGACAGGCTCGCTTTCTGTCTGTCTGACTGCAGAGTCTGTCAATCGCAGCAGAAACGACGATCTGCACAGTGTTCTGGTCGATCAAAGTCGGTTTTTGGTAGAGCCGAAGCAGCTCCCCAGAGAGACAGGCACAGAGAGATGACTTTTGCTGGTGTGCATCATGTTCATCGGTGCTGCTGCTGCTTCTGTTGGCGCTGGTAGCTGCTAATGACGAGGTAGCACTAATTGCCCTGGTTAATTGAACAAACACGGCTGCTGCAAAACGGCTGCAATTGCTGTGCGTCTGCCTCTTCTAATTGCACTCTATCTCTCTGCTATTCTTGCTCTGTTCCCAGACTGCAGATTGGCCTACACAGTCAATTATCTCCAATCCAGTCACAGCACCACCGATGTCAATCATTGTATTTTCGCTTATTGCCTTTGCACACACACACACACACTCACTTGCTCAGTCAGTTAGCACCGTCCGGGCCAAGGTCCCATCTTTGCCATTTCAATCGATTGTCTCATCATCATCACGCCAACACTGCCATTTCTGCTGGTGGTCCAAGTTGCTGGTTAGAGCGCCATTTACTTGGCTCTGCGCGCACTGCACTGCCACCCTGTTTTTTCAGGTAAATGCTATGCTGGTGGTGGTGGTGGTGCCCTTTGTGGCGCTAATGAAGCCTGGGCACGCACATAGGCTCGTCTTATCTGCCGATTGACATTGACATACACTTCGCTTGTGTGAACCAGTGTGTCGGAGCAGAAGATCGAGCAAGAGCAGCAGCAATTTGTCTTTCTCTCACTATACGCCCGTACCTGCTCTGTACGAGACCGACGGCTTTGAACAGGCAGGCGCCATCAGCAGCAGCGGCGGCGAAAAAACTGGCGGCTTGTCTTTGTTGTCGTCTGTTCGTGTCACTCTTCTACCGTCTCTTTGGTAGTGGCGGCGGCTAATGGCTTTGTCTGCTGTGCTGTGCATCATCTGACGCATTGTGCAACCTTGTACATCAACTTCTACAAAACTTGAATTGTTCTTTGTTTTCGGCCTTTGTTTGCTCTGCTCTCAAGTGCACACTTGAAAGCGTAGCCGCCACTCCTGTGCCCTCATTCTCACCTTCATTGCACTTTCTCCCCCTTCTCATCCCATCCTTCTTTTTAGTACGAGATTCTGTTCTGCGTTCAGGACGACCAAGATCATGCGAAGAACTACGTCAACGACCTCCTGGTGAAGTATCCCCATGTGGACGCCAGCCTCTTTGTGGGCGGGATCAAGGTGGGCGTCAATCCAAAGATCAACAACATGCAGCCGGCGTACTTGGCGTGCAAGCACGAGCTGGTCCTCATATCAGACGCCGGTATTCGCAGTAAGTGATTTTCATTATCCAAAAACATTGATTTCTGTCAATCAAATGCTCACCTTCTTCTTCTTCACCACCTCAGTGGAAGAGGACACCCTTCTGGACATGGTGCACAGCATGAAGGACGACGTCGCCCTCGTCCACCAGATGCCCTTTGTCTGCGACCGAAAGGGCTTTCCCGCCGTCCTGGAGAAGGTCTACTTCGGCACGGCGCACGCGCGCATCTACCTCTGCGCCGACTTCCTGCGCATCAACTGTCCCACGGGCATGTCCGCCTTGATGCGCAAGAAGCTACTGGACGACGTCGGCGGCATCGCCTCCTTTGGCCAGTACCTCGCGGAGGACTTTTTCTTTGCCAAATCTTTCACCGACAGGTAGGGGAGAGAGTTGCAGTGGTAATTTTAAAAGTTTTTTTAACATTTTTTGTTTGATAATGACAGAGGGTGGAAGTTGAGAATCTCACAGCAGCCTGCGTGGCAAAATTCCTACACAGCCGATATTGAAACATTTCAAAATCGAATCACAAGGTGAGAAAGAAAGTGAAATTTTTTAAATTTATTAACACACTTTTTTTGTTGTTAGATGGGCCAAACTGAGGATAGCCATGATTCCACACATGATCCTCCTGGAGCCACTCTCCGAGTGCTTTGTCCTCGGCGCAATGGCCTCCTGTGCGATCAGTTTCCTTACTCAAGTTGATCCATTTGCCGTGTACTTGATTCACATTCTTTTATGGTTCCTTTTTGATTATTCTCTGCTTATAATTATTCAAGTAAGCACTTGCTGATTGTTAAAAAAAGTTTTACTCACTAATTTTACCTTTTTTCCCTGCAGAAATCCAATCTTCCTTTCAGTAAGATTGACTTTGTGATAGCATGGCTACTTCGAGAACTCTTTGCCCTCATTCTCTTTGCAAGGGCACTCTGGGAGCCGGACATTCGGTGGCGTACCGGCACCTACAAGTTAAAGTGGGGCGGCGTCGCCGAGGAGATCAGTGAGATCAAATCGAAGTTATAGTCCTCTGCCTCTGCATGTCTCCCCTCCCCCTCACTTTTTCCCCTTTTTACAATTTTTCTCTACTTTTCCACCCCTCCCAAATCATCAACTTCTTTTTCTCTACTTCGTGTACAGTCTCTCTCACTTCTTTCATTCTTTTTTCCTTTTACCCCGATTTCACAAATCATCTTTTCCACCATTGCCACGCCCACATTCATTTTTGTTACTTAATTTACTTTAAAGAAAAAATAGGTGTACATAGTTGTCAATTTGTGAAGAGCTGATGAAAAGCATAAGTAATAATACAAATGGCCCAATCTTTGACGATGTATGCTGTGTGCTGCCACTCCAAACCGAGCTAGTCACTTGTTGACCGGCAGAAATGTAAAATACAAAATACTTTTTGAAATCTTAAAGGAACTTTTTGGGTTGCCTTTGCAAACATTCTGTCTGTTTGGGGCGTCGCATTCACCGCTGGCGTCGATGATCCGTGGAAACAGTGAAAAGGACCTTCACCTTTGTAATGGTGGTGCCACATGGTAATCATCACCTACCTTCTCCTACTTCTCTTCCAATCGATCTTCTAGTTCCAGTTCAATGCCAATCGTCTCTGCTCTGCTACTGCTCTGTCAAATTGTCTCCACCCATCGTCGATTGCTAATTGATTCGCTTCGATCCTCGTATTTCTTTTTTTCAAGCATTGTTGCTTCTGTTGCTGCTGCTGCCGCTGCAGCTTCCTGCGAAGCGTAACACACTTTATTTATTTATCAACTGCCCCATTGTTGACTGACTGACTTTTTCTCCTGTTGCAGACATCTATTTTTTCCTCTTTTCCTCAGCCATTCTTCACACACAGAGGCTGTTGTTCTTTTCTTTTTCTTTCTCTCACTTCAAAGCGATGACTCACAGCTTGCGATGTTAATCAAACAACAAAGACAGATCGCACTGAACACACACCGTCGACAACCTGACTCACACTGACATAGTGGACTTTTCCCTCTCCCTACCTTTGTTGTTTCCTTGTGCCTCTACTTTAGGCAAACCCTAAATAAATTGGGGTTGTTAGTCAGCACCTACCATCACCATCACTGCCACCTCCTATTGTTGCCGGTGTTTTCCCAAGCAAGACGGCAAAGGAAAAAGTTCTTTTCTTTTTTCCTTAGAAAAATACCCAACAAAGTTGCTGTCGATCTGAAAAGTGACCTTGCCGGTCCACCCCCTCCTCCTCCTCCTTTTTCTTTATATTTTTTTTGCAGACACCTGTCAGACTTGGACCAGTTCCCAGTTACTTTGGCACACAGAAAGTTTTTTTGACTAGAACATTGACGATAATTTGCAGTTTGCGGCTGGTTTAGGTGAAAAAAAATAAAAGTGCGAGGGAGTACTTTACTACAGCAGTGGCACAGTCAACACCGACAATGGTGTGTTTCAAGAAAAAACTTTGGGTTTTCACTACTTTTCCTTTTACTTCAAAGTGTACACCACTTTGCACTGTCCTTGTCCAGAATATTTGTCCACTGTTTCACATGACCACTCGTTTTTTAGTGTACATCGATCAATAGAGCCTTGTGTGCTGCTGTTGATTGTCCCCAGTGGCTTTTCTTTTCATCATCATCATGACTGCCATCTTTGCCTATCGAAACACATTAACAATCACTTTGCACTCTGTGATTATTCCTTCTCCTCGTTTTCTCACAGTGTATTTTGCTGCAACAGCAACAGCAACACACACTTCTTTCAGAGCACCATTTTCATTTCATAATAATAATTGGACCACTTCCGCTGACACAGTTT